GGAGATATTTAAAATTTAAAATCTAATATTGAATGACTTAAGAAATACATTTGATAAAAGTGATGGTAATTTTCAGTTAACTTTGTGATGAACTCAAATATGTTTTCAAAAAATGTAAGCAATTAACAGACTGTGGTACAAAGTATGATTGTATTGCCGTAAGTTAGATTTATTTTGATAAAAAAAAAACAGCCAGGATAGAATCCTTATGGTATAATTTTAAGAAATTATTGAAAGAAAATTACCCATGGTTCTCGCAAGGAGATGACCGAGATTATTAAGTTCATTCAAAACCATTAAAGTCGTGTTAAATATAAGCATACAAAGGCGAACAGAGCATTGATAAATTGATAAACGTCAACTGCTATTAAACTACCTACTCGGTAAAATCCAAAAATTATCCTAAAAATGTAGTCATTCTGTAGAAGGACCGTTAGTTTTTTAACATTCAGCCCAAAACAATAAACTAAAGTAAGGCAAATAAAAACATCGGTACATGGTAAAGGGTTTGAAGGGGTTTCCCGGCGGGCCTATATCCAGATCTGAACAAATGTTTAATGTAAGAGCCCTCACTTCCCGTGTACCAATAAACGCAAAACCGTTTGGATGGTAGATACAGGTAGACGACAGTGCCAAGGGTCTTGCAAATTTATACCCTCTTACACGACCTATATACATTTTTAATTATCATAAGAATAATATAATACAGTTGTTTCGCGATCCATGTGTAGGTACAATAGGTATCGATTGTTGAGAGTGAGTGGTACCTATGTACAGGTGATCGTTAAAAAATTGATGAGACACTCCGCTTGTTTTTGACAATAGATTTGTAGAATTAGGACTCGAATGTTGGAACAGCTGTCTTAGTTCTTTGGTCATACAATTTTGAAATATTTTAATGGGAATGCAACAGTAGTTTTGTACTACAAGGGCGTGTAACTTAAAACGAATAACCGTAGATACTTGGAATTTTTGTAAAATGTTCATGTTAGAATTTTCTGTACACAATACAATTTTTCAAAATATTTTCAAACATTTTGAGCTTTTTACCTTTGACTCTTCAATTTTTTAAAGTTTTTTTTCATTAAATATAAGTGATATTTACATAAGTTAAAAAAAACGAAAGTATACCTGCAATGTATTGCAGTATGGTCACGATTTTCACAAGCCACATAGATTAATTTTCCATTTGCTTGTTGACGCATTGTTATTAATAAAAATCGGCAATATAATGATGTCGAATAAAACCAATTAAATATATAACATACCAAATCGTTTATTTGTGTAAATCATATGAGGATTCACAGCATAACATTTTAACATTCTTATAATCTACAAGTACCTATACATTACGAACGACTGCAACCCGATTCGGTAAAACCCGATTGTGCAGGATCAATTTTGTTTTTGGATTGATACCTAGGTACAGGAAAAATTGTCTGTTTCCACATTGGACGGCACTTAGGTTTAACCGCGGTGGTTACCTACCAGATCAGTCCAATCACACCTGCGGATTACGCATACTCCTAGCAGCAAACTCGACTGCACAGCTGCAGCCTGCACTTGAGATTTTAATTCACCTGTTTTCAAACTCGGACGTCTCGATCGAAACTCTTAGGTAGTCTGACGTGTCACCAGGGACGTACTCGATGTCGGCCGAAGTAAACCACACTGCGATCTTCGGCATCGATCTAGAACGGCGTCTCAGCGGATCCGCGAGATCTGTTGCACGTCCTCATCGACCGACTGAACCTGCAGCGGCGACGAGACGGGCGATGTCTCGATCTTGACTTCGGCGGCATCGGGCGTCATTATTGCCGCGTTGACCAACGGAATATAAGTAAAGGAACCAAGTGGCCCGACCGAAACCGTTTACATTGAGTCGCAGATAGACGGTGAATCGATCGATACTTCCTGCATCGTGGCGGCAGATGACGACTCGATTCGGGTGCATCGCGATAGATTCGGCAGATGGCGGAGATGTATTCTGTACGGTAAGTGCAGTGGTGATCATAGATATCTTATATGCACTTTATGTATGTATTATTGCACACAAGGAAAGTGCGTTATAACTTAAAAAAATCAAATGAATTATTCGTATATAGTGTTTGTTGTAACAATAATACAGAAATAATATTATGCTGTGAGTCAGTGACACAACAATTAATAAATATATAATATATATATAACACTTTATAAGCCACCCAAAGCAACACGATTTAAAAAACTTTTGTCTCGAGAATAAATGTATATTTATATTATTACTTATTATCAAAATTTTTTTTGAAATTTAAAAAAATAATTTATTGTGATGCCAAGGATTTGAACGAGTTAGGAAAGTTTACTCTGCGAGCGTGCTAAATTCCCCGTTTCTAAACGTATTCTAATACAACCCATTAAGTATTAAGATATAATTCCATATATTATTATGTTCAGTTAAAAAAAAAAAATTGGTAATCTTAATATTTTGGTACCTATTTGATATGATGATGGTATAAGTAAATAATTTAATAGTTAAAATTTAACTTATATTGAATATGAAGTACATAGCTTAAAGTTTATTTAACTATTTTTAAATAATATATTTTATAAAACATTCAATAAAAATATAAGGTGTACTTTGGCACCTTTATTTTTTCCGTATCTTATTAACCTACCTAAAAAATGCACAAACTCGAGATGGCCGATACATAAAAGTCAAAATATGTTATCAATAATATATTAAGATATATTTCTATTGACGAAAAGTATTAGTGTCAATAAAATTAAAGATTACTTCCCCCCATAGCTAAAGACCGTAGTCCATAGGCCAATTTGGGTTTCGCAAATCAGCAGTTTGATCTCGAGGTTTGTGTCTGCATTGTTGTTTTAATGTATGCTCTCATCTGCGAAAGTGGGTGATTGTAGTCCTTAGGTTTTATTGTGACGTGTTGGGTCCAGGTTTGGCGAAGATTTAGTAAAAGTCTTAAGTATTTTGATTAATAAAATATGAATTATTAAAAGTCGGTTTTCTATTTTTGTTCATACATAGGTTAGCCTTTGATATGAGCGTAACAACTCAACTGGTACATACTAAAATATACTGGTAAGTACTAGTGGGCCAAGTCATACTTAAACGGTCCGAAGTATGTATGTAAGCTGAAACAAAAAACAATAATTAACTGAAAAAATACATAAGACATAATCATTCCCCTCCCATCACCCATATAATGTAAACCCTATAGAATTAAGCTCCGGCGTACAATAATTCAGATTTACACTACTCTAAATTATTATCGGATAACCATAACCTAACATACACCCATTGAAAATAACACCTATACCGGCTATTTAAAATATTATATCTGACACGGCGTGACGTTATCACCCCGCTCGTGTATAAGACATACAGTAGACGTTATCTGGACCGACGACTTGTCGAAAATTGAGTCGGATATTCGTTGGATTATCCGTGATTTAATCGAACCCCGTTCGTCGGTCTCCCAAAAGTCGCGATTAACGGCCGCGATGAACTTGCGAGCGGGAGAGACGTTGTTGGAAACGGGCTCGAATGCGCGGATCCCAGCTGTAATGACGGGTCTAATGAAGGTCGCGGCACGCGGACGCAGGTGGCCGACCACCAACGCCACCGCCACCGCTGCCCTTCGTCGAGGGTCGACGTCGCGCGATCATCCCCCGCACTTGCTTCCCTTACGCCATCGCTCAGCGTGGGAGCTTTATATTATTTTTTTCCGGGCGGTTCAGTCGTGTCGCCGTCGTAGCGCATCACAGCCGCGTGCTCCGTCCTGCGTTTACCGGCTCGCCGTTACGCCCGTCGCTGTTCGGGGTTCGCGCCACGCTTCCGTCGTCGGATTTGTTAATTTTTGTTTTTGGTTTTTTTCTGGTTTTCCAATTGTTGTTTCACGTGCAAATTCTTTTTCCGACCACTGACGTTTTTTTATGGTGAATTTTTCTTTCGATCGTTAGTGCTCACCGACATCACAGTGTTTATTGGATTCAACTTCTACCGTGGCTCGTGAGTGCTTATGATTTTGAATTATAATATACATATATTATACTTATAATGTCCACCGTCTCGTAGTAATTGTTATCATTTAGAAATAAGTAATAACTCTGTTTACTATATAGTTTCTAGTCGTATATACATTAGTACATTACCACATAGCTACTTACCCATGTGGCTATTTGTATAATATTTCTGGACGAAAAAATATGGCCAATTTCATCCCACCTCCCTCTTTACACGACAAAATCCTAAACTTATCAAGATGAGCTCAAAGGATAAACTGAAAAAAAAACTGTGTGCTTGTCACAGAGTAAACAGAATTAAGGATTTAGAAAAATGTTAAAATAATATAAGATATTTTTTGTATCTTTTGGAAAATTAATTATGCATGGTAAAGTTATCTTCAACACTCACCACCGTAATGTAAGTAAACGGTGACGTCATTTAACTTCAAATGAAATACATTTTAAAAAACGTGTTACCTTGCAGATTGTACTTCTAATAATATATAAAGAAAAAAAAAATCCGGTAATTCATTAATTCAATAGGTCACTCGGCTATTTGGGTTTAAAATATTATAGCATTTCATCTTTGGTATAATATTATATTATTCAACATGCGTGAGTACCTACTGTGTGCTATATGTCTTAATGGAAATCCCATATCAGTCTGGCTGATATTTTCGTGGCATGGGTGCCTAATGTTTATGTATGAGATTATATTGATATTAAATTATGCACCTTAACTTTAAGCTAAAATATCGTAAAATTTAAAATTAAATTGAAAATAACACTTACCGTGCCTGTTTACTTTATATATTTTAATCCAAGTTGAAATATGTAAAATAAGTACTAATGCTGTAAATTTGTTTTTCATTCATCAATGAACATGCCACCTTAACAAAACTATTTTTTTCCTACAAAAATAAGTGTTTGATTTTATGCAAACACTTCATATTATATAAGAGCAACAGAAGAAAATGCAAATGACAAACACATTCAAATTCTATAGTGGAATTTTAACTAAGACTTAGGTACCTTAGGAAAATGATTAGTAAGTCGTCAATTGATCACTAGTCCAAACTCAAAGTATAAATCTATACATGTATTACTGATGACATAACGTTTAGGTTAAAATTTGGTATTTATAGATTTTAAAGCAATATAAATGTTTAGGAATTAGAGCACTGAACTACCTTGCAATCGATTGTTTTCGATAAAATTATTGTTATCTTGGATTTAGAGATTGACTTTGATTTTACCTTATTTTTTATCATACAAATTGATCTACAATTTGTAGTTAAAATTAAAGATAGTGTCACTGAATACAACTTTTTCCTTCCTTCATGTACTCATTTACACCAAGATTAGATTTAAGATGTGCCTACTAGAGTTAAATAACTGTGCAAGGATTTATAACATTTTTCATTTTTACCTGTCTACTATTGGATACTAAATGTAAGCTAAGTAAGCTTTTCAGGCTTTCAGCATTTACTTAAGCTTTTGTAAGAGTTTTATAGAGTTTTTTTGAAAATATATTCAAAAGAACATTTTTGGAATGTACTATTAAGTTTAAAACTTGTTAGGTAATAAATCAATTTCAAATAAATCATTTCTTATTTCTAGCAATGTGTGAATGCTGATATAGTATTTACTTTTAAATATCCTCTTTTTACAATAATCAATACATAATTCAATATTAATTCAATGCCTTTGCTGGTTTTTTTTTTAAATTTATAAACAATTTCCTATCTAATTTATTAAAATTATATTCCAGCATCAATCAAATACTTTGATGTAAAGAATGAATGATTCCTAAGCAATATCTAGCTTTGTCTAAGGTATTACACTAGATCACTGGTCGCTGATACATATTAATTATTATTAAAATTTTTCAAAATAAAAAAATCGTCTATGAAATAATACATTTTTTTTTATTATCATTAGATTTATTCCACAAAATAAATATAAGACACATATTACTATAATATATTATTACATATATTATTTATTTCTTTGAAGAAGTGTCAATGATCAAAGCTGCCTTTAGTAAGTGTATTACTTTTAATTTATAGTATTGATTTTATATAGGCTGTAAACTTTCGTTTTTTTATTGACAACTGTAAATTTAACATTAAATTATTTAACTTTAATCATGTATAAGTCCTAAAAGTTGTAATTTTAATTTAACAGATTTTAATATATTTATTTAAACCTCATGCCAGATCTCCAGCTATAATTATTATTCCAACTGTTATTCGATTTGGTTTTAATTATATAAAAAGTAATTAATAAGAATTTTTTTTAAAATAAAAACTCTTTTATAAGAAATTTGTTTCTTAAATTAATAATAACTTAGGTACATTTAAAAATACATAACATTTTGTTCGTGATCTCATATGATAATGAAAAAAAAATTATAAAGTTTAAATTGACCGAGTATGTTTTCATGTTTTTTGTTATCATTTTGAAAACTTTCATATATATGAATGTTCTATAGCTCAATTTCACCTGAACATTTTTTTGTATTGATATTTTTGACAAAGTTACAACTTCAACATTATTTTATACAATAATACAATTAAAATTATGTATTTAGAACTATGCCTAATTATGCGTATTTAAAAATTGATTTATTACATTAATAGTTACTTGTTTGAAGATGAATATACACTTTTATTTGATTGTTTTAATTTATATTTTTAACTCAGTGTTATAGAGTTATATCGTTGAATGAAAATATAGTCAAGTGACAAGTAGTTATTGAACGTCTTTTAATCGTAAACAACATATTATTTGAGTATCTTAAAACTACCTCTATTGTGTTAGTGCACTGTACTATGGAGTATTGCTAATAATTTGCTATTACCTACATTATTATTATAGTTGTTGGACAAACTTTATTTAGTTTTTATACATTTAAAAATGTACTGTACTTGAAAAAAAAAACGGTGTGCTTTTATTGTAATCAAAATAATGATAAATTATTATGCTGTGGTCTTAGATGATGTTCCATATAATAACAATAGCTTGAACACAGTTAAGTCTAAGAAATAAATTACTTCAATATTTAATTAAAATTATTCATCAAATGACATTTGTTCAACATGAGTGTAAAGTGTGTGAAAAGGTGTTTCAAACATGATATTTAGAACATTGATGTAGACACAGTTAATCATGTGAGTTATTATTTTGATGTATTTTTTTAACTGTCATAGTTTTAGATCATCTTAACTACATTTTTTGACTGGCGTGCTTTTATATAGGTAGCGAACATTTTTGAAATATTGACATAAAACACTCTTGCCACCTACAACACTATGCATTTATCAATTTTTTCAAATGTTCATAACAATGAGAGATGTATTCAATTTATTTTTTTTTGGTCGAAAAAAACGCCAAGCGAAGACAACATCTGGACTTTTAATACGATTTATTGGTATAACACGTTACATTTCCCCCCTTTGCCAACCACTAAACTTATTGTATTATAATTTGAAACAAAAATGGAAATAATATTATGCTATTGAATAGCTTTTGTTAAATGCCAATGTTTTAGCCCAAACAATGGTTGTGGCTGGCTAAGCAAACTAAATTTCATCATAAAATAATTTATCAGGCAGACTTTGAATAAAATTATAAAATTATATCCTTTGTATGTATTTTATATAATAATCATGCATAATAGTTTCATATTTGATTTTTAACATTTCTGGTGTAACGGCCAATTGAATAGGCATTTTTACTACATCCGAGTGTATGTATGTTTGCTTAGAATATAATTATTGATTGTTTTCATATAAAATGTTTAGAATGATTTTGGAGAAAGGTTTGAAAATAAACAAATCATACATTTTCTTGGAATTATATTTCCAGGTAATAGCACAAGTTTCGTTCTTGGTTTTTCTTGAGAGTTTTGCCATTATTCATTGTGTGTTGTTGTCTGTTTTATTTCTACAACTCGGTTTAGCAAGCATTAGGACTCGATACTACCAGACGTGTTTTACGCAAAAAGATTTATTGGTAGTAACTAATGTTGATCCAAATTAATCAATATTGAAATTTGAAGTGAAGCTACGAGAAAAATGTTTACGTTCAATTAATAAACAGCATAATTAAAATAGCTGAGTATTGCTTGGCTAATGTCAACCTATACTGTACACAGCACAACGCGTATCGATAAATAATTCAAAATTAATATACATTGTAACAACTAACAATGTGTTTGTTATGTTTACCCTTACATCCATTATAAGTCATAGTGTTTAACTGAAAATTATAGATGGATAATGTGTTTAATATAATTTTAAATTCCGAAGACTATTGAAATAATTTTAAATGTATTACATGTTTAGTAGATGATTACAAATATATTTATAAAATAACGTCAACAGAATAAGTATTTAGAACAAATATTTCTTCAAGTTGCCGACAGAAAGATTTTCTTCTAGATTTTTAACATGTCTAAAAGGTTTTTAATGATCATAATTTAATACTTTTTTTGTATGTGCAGATAATGGCATATTAAAGAATGCTTTACTATTATGTATATACTATAGGCGATTCTTTTAATTTTAGTGAACACTCATTTTCTCAAAATGTATTAAAGTTTTAGAAAATATTTTGGTCACATAATTTGATCTCATTACAAACAAAATTGTTGATACATAATAATGTTTTTACCATTTTTATTGTCACTATTTTTTTTAAAAAGTTTTTTTGTTAGTTGACCCCATTTACATTTTTCATGAGCTTTCCGAGTTCAAATTTGATGAAATTGAATACTTAAAGTTTATACAATGACGATTTATCATCAAAGATTTTTGTTATATTGATAATATGTGATCATTATTAACTGTAGAAATTAGACTCAATTCGCAATTACTTAAAATGAAATTGTCTATGCACGATGAAATTTTCAAAACATTATGGATAACTAAGCTATTTTTAGGTATTTCAGATTTAAAATTTTGATTACAATTTTTTTTTAAATGTTAATATAAATAATTA